GTTTGAATTATTGCGCCAGATCTTTCAGCGGAAACATCAAACAAATCGCATGAGTGGCGAGCTTGGCCACCTTCCACTTCTCCTGAAAGTGGGTAAACACTTTTCAACCCAAAGTCTGAAGGTGCAGAAGAGCAGGTGCAGGTACGACACATGCAACGGCAGCAAATCAAGGTCGCCCGTTCACAAAACATAGGAGTCGCCGTTTGTCCAGTGAGACATGGTGCAAAGTTCCGTCAGTACATAATCACAACAAAACTTGCTTGTTGTGGAAAGGTCCTTCTCACCGACTACCTCAGGTACCCAAGTGATGAGATCTGCCGCAAAGGCATCAATGCCGGCATCATTGGGAATAGATCGCCAACCTGTGCTTGCAGTCGCACAAAAGGTTATGCAAATTCACGTGTGATGCTCCCTTGTGTGTCCAAGTTCTCGCAATTTCTCAACGATTTCAGACCTACTCACTTTTCCACTGGTTCATGGACAAGGATATTTCAATTAGGCCGAGCAGCATAAGGGCTCTTCCAGGCACTGGGCAAAGTCATCGTCTGAGTGAAGTGATTGTGATTGGTGTCAGGTGGTGGATGTAAGGTGGTGCAAGGTGCTGACCTTTCTCATGGTGAAACTGCCCATGCGCTGCTCCCCACACGACCGGCAAACAACTTGAATGCCGCAAAGATGCTACCTCCGTCCCGCAAGCGAAGCTGACCTCCTTGCTCGCGTATCCAGGAAGCCAACAACATCGTAACCTGCGACATGGTAGCAGCCCGAAAGTACCTGGCAGAGGAAGGCTACCAAACAACCTCGACATGTTGTCTTTGGAATCTGCGATGAGTGATCCTCAAATTAATTCAGGCTCGGGGCTGGGGGTCTGGATTTTGAAATTGATGTCTGTCCTTCATCAAATCGATACCCCCAGGCCCAAAAAACAAAACAAAGTTGACACCCTCAGTCCAAGGAAAACAAACATAACTCCTATATTACCACCAAAGTACACCAACAGAACTAGATTGTATATATACTCCGGGGAAAAACAACATAGACCAGAACTCAAGTGCAAGTGCGCTTTAACATGGACTATTGGAAACGGTTATTTCCCGGGGAAACGGTATTAGCGTTTTTTTGGCAACTTCTGGACACTCACTAACATGGACCATTCCCACTCTCCGTCTATGATCGATTCTGACACTCACACTGACCAACTGCAATCTGACTATAAGCTGAACGCAGGCAACATAGACCCCGCCGGTGGAGGTCAACATAGCCCGGTGGAGGCTAACATGGACCATGCCACACACCTCTAGGGCCTACCTGGTGCATCATTGGCTTTTCAACGTGTTCTTTTTAAAACAATTTTTCATTTTTCACAGATTGCTTGAAACAGACTCCAAACATCAATGGAAGAAAGGAGCTGAAGGACTATGACCAGCCAAGTAACTAAGGGTTAAAAATTAAGTGGCATATTTTTTATACGTTTTCTCCTCTCCCCCTGTCTCTATTTAACAGGGGAGACACAGGGAGTGGGTCAGAGTGCGACAGGGACCAGGGACTTCGTCGTCGCCTTGCCCTTAACCTGGGAGACCAGGGAGCGAATGAGGGACCTCCAAGATGTCGTGTAATCCCAGTTCCCTGGTCTCCCCGTTAAGGGAATAGACACAGAGACCCCATGGCCGGAAGGGTGCGACCACTGGTCGATTCTGACACTAACATGGACCAACTGCAATCTGATTATAAACTGAACGCATGCTAACATAGACCGCGCCGGTAGAGGTCCCGGTGGAGGCTAACATGGACCATGCCAAATACCCGTACGGCCCACCATGGCACATCGGAATTTGGTCTAGGTTAGTCTCAACGGTGTCCGCTCGGAAGCTAGACAAACATATGCCCAAAAAGAAATCTTGTTTTTGGCGAAAATGTTAGTTTTCACCGGTGTAACTCCAATGTCAATGTCAATGCTCCCAGAGCACAATCGTGCAATCAGTGCCACAAGCTACACTTGAGGATGTCCTGCACAAACCGTATGGTTCAAACCAATTGTATGCTTCAACAACTCATGCAGCATGTGCGTGTATGTCTGTCCTTTCTATGTTTGTCATTCTTTCTGCTTTGTTTACTATGATGTGTGGTGGTTCCTGTCCATGTTTTTGGTGTGCACCAAATATCCTCTTGAATCTGGACATGTCTGGACGGGGCTGCCTTTCTTCCGCACGCACCTACGGGACGTTGTAAAGAAAGTCAAAGGGCGGCCTGTGATTGGAAATTGTGGCTCCTTTCTGTATTGTCACGGTCTTCTTTCACATATGTCATATGTCCTTCCTTTGTGATGTGGTGATTCCTGTCTGAATATTCTGGTGGATTGCCAACTATTTTCCTAGTAGGGCACGAATTGTAGGAACCAAACACACGTCAGACAGTACAGAACCTGGAGCCTTTACAAATCCCTGGTCTCGGACCACATTGCGAATTGGCCTTGCCAGAGCAGACACAACCTTCTTTGTGTCATAAAGCTGTGTGAAAGGCAAATATCTGGAACCGCACATTGCCATAGCTTCATCGCTCTCTACACGCACGCCATCGCTTTTGTAACTTGCTCAAAACAGCTCGTATGGAACAGTTAAGACCCACAACGTTGAAAGCTGCATGTGCTTAAATGCACAGGCTTGCAATTTCAGTGGTTTTTTCTGCGTGTCAGCCGTGTCAGCTGGGCACCCAGGTAGGATAGCGGTGATGAAAGCCTCAGGGCAAACAAATCAGGCAAGACTGGACTTGCCACTATGGTCGTCACTTGAAAGATCAGCATGTCAAATTCTCTCTGAAAAAAGGAATTTGCAGAATCTCCAGTGACTCCAGTGTATATCTGGCATATTGGCACTATCTAATCATTAGCAACGGAGACTTGAGAATTGATTGGCTTGATTTGCGTCGTGCTTCTGTGTCTGTTTCTAGAGCATAGATTCGGCGGTGTCGGGGGTACCATCCTTTAATGTCCGGGCATTCTTGTCCAAGGAAACCTCAAAAAGATGTCCAAAATACGCAACAGCCTTATAAAGCATATGTCGATAATTCGGAGAACAGCTTGTATCCTCAATCCAAAAAATCGTAGACTGGCAATCGTAGGAACCAAGCCAAGTCAGACGAGAGACTATCCGAATTGTATCGAATTGTAAACGGTGCAGCACCACTTGCCTGGACACGGTGCAGCCCAGCAGCAACAATATCAAGGTGATCGGGCTCACCATCTGCAAAGCAAAGTTTTGCAATAGAGTCGCGATGTTGTCGCCAAATCATATCCTCGTGTTCCCACGCAATGTCCTCCTCCTCCTCCCACTCAACGGGGCCTCACATCAACACAAATGTTGCTACACCCGCTCTGGCATGGCCGCAGCAAATCCAATCCAGTTCAGCAGAGCTCGTTGCATCAATCAGACTCATGGACTCCCAGTCCCTCGAAACCGCGACACATGGCATCGAGTCACTCTGGGAGCTCCTTGTTATTTGACACCTTGGCGGTTGACTTTTATAGACCAGAACTTCGACCCTGGGAAAGCAAGAGCTCTTGTGCAAATGCCGAGAATCTTCCTTCAAGAACTGAACTCAAGAACCCTCCTAGAGGAAGATTTGCAAGAAATACTGAAATACCTACTACGTAGAATAGCGATGGCCTCCAACCTACTAGCGGTGGCGTCCAACCTGAAGAATGGGTAGAAATACCTCCTAGATCATCTCAGAGTCACATCTTCCAGGTTCTCTGACTGTCCCGCATCCTGGCTCAGGCCACCGCGGAGTCCTCTTTTCCTGAAAGGCCACCCTACACCTGGCAAAATTTGGTGAAGTTTGATCTGGTAAACAAGTGATTAAACACCTTGACTGAACGAAACTGCTGAACCAGAGCTCAAATACTGCTTGGCGATGTCTCACAATACTTTGCCTCCGAAGGTGCGCATGGCACAGCAGCGAGGTGCCAAAAGCGACGGCCCGCAAGTGCACGTTTTGGGCACGTGGCGCACGTGCCCCAGAGTCCGAAGATTGGACTCTTGGCCTGACGTCAAAACTTATCTTGCTGACGTCAAAGGTCTTTTCACCTTCTCAAAACTAAAGAATCAGAGTGTAAGTGTTGTTTATCTTCATTGAACTCCTCAAAGATCTTAGAAGCATCCTTTGGTAAAGCTGTTCCGGATGCACCTTCCACCAGCAAACACGGCCATACCATGCGCCATACCCTTCCTGTACTTTTCACCCAGTCGTTGTTTGTGTTTTTTTGTTCAGGCGCGTGTGTCTCAAATCAATCCTACGCCACCAAATGAAGCTCGACATTGAACAGGACGGTGCATGGCCAAGCCTTTGTGGCAGCGATGCCTGCGCTCGCTGTCATATTGATGTTGCCAACATAATTCTAACAAAATATACCTAATTATACACAAATAACTTCCAGCGATCCTTCTTCGCAGTTTCAGGAGTAGAGACTTCCTGAGGACTCGTTGTTGGAAAGACTTTAACACTCTTTACAACTAGTAGCTTCTTGTTACTAGAAGCGATGGCCTCCACCCTAGTAGTGATGGCCTCCACCTAGTCGATTCTTGCTACTATATACCCACCTAGTCGACGCTGGACAAACCTGCGAAGGCTGTGAGGGGCCAAAGTAGAAGTTCATCCAATGCGCTGCATGGCTCAAGCATGGAGCTGCGAGCTACATCAGGTTCGCATGATTCCGCTGTATTTGCTGCTAGACCACTTCTTGCTCAGACTACCAGCACACTGCACAGGCTCCCTTGGAATGCCAAAATGCAGGTAGCACTTAGACTTCCAAATGCGGACTGAGTCTATGCAAACAGTTGTGTCTTGCTTGAGTTTTGTAGACTTTAGCATCAGCATCAAAGAGTAGGTGCATGTTGCACAAGAAGCACCTGAGAGGCATTGAGAGGCGTCAGCAAATTTGCATGGCGAAACGTTGAGTCAGAAAAGGGGGGCATTGTCCAAACCAATCGCGAAAAGCATTCATTTTCAGAAACACTGGATGACGCTGGCACATTGTCCAGCTCCACAAACGATCAGCAGTCTGTATCACATTAGATCCAGGTCCTGCAAGAAATCGATGCACAAAATGAACGAGTCCCGGAAAAAATGAAATTGCATTAATTAAGGCCTCAACCTGGCCTGTCGCTAAACTTTGAAGAAATCAAAGAACGACTCCGCAGCTGGTGCAAATCCTCTGTCAACAATAAATCTAAGTGCTCTGAGTTGAGGCCAAGCCCAGCACCTAGCAAGCTGCTGGATAACAAATCAGCGCATCGAACTGAACAGCAAACAGACGACTCGGGAATTGTTCGAGTGGGAAGTTTGGGATTCTTTCTACTAGTAGCAAGACCATCAATTACCTTGTCTTTGAGACAGTATCACACTGTCCATTTGTCATGTCTTTCCATTTGTCTTGTTCGGTTTCTGTTCTTCTTTCTTGTGTCCACTACTAAGGAGGGGACAGCTTGGGAAATTGACAATGACAAGATCTTTCCTCCCAGTCCCAGCCCCCTCAGCATGTTTACTGGCACGGTATTAAGTTGGCGGCTACGTTTAATTGAAGTTCAAATATGATGCAGTTGACAGCACCCAATACATATGCAAAATTATTGCCCACTAGTGAAGTACAGGTGCGCAGCTCCGATGCCTATGATGCCGCTAACATGTCTTGCATCATTTATATAACGTTTTGAGATCAAGTTCAACCTACTGCACTTGATAGTACCACATCAATTCAGATCATAGTCAGCCACAACCTTTGACGGATGGAGGAAGCGACACTCCTTAATGTCAGAAACCTTCCCCTCATGATCACTATGCCTCACTATGCAGGGTGTTGGGTGGCACAGGCAAACCTCTCGATTCGGAGGGCTTGAGTTGGCTTGAGTTGTCAGGTGTCATACACTTGCACTGTCGCTATAGCTGCTCATGTCACCCCAGCTCGCTTGAGGCCGGCACCAAAGCTTGTCATGTTTCCAGTTTTTCTGGACGCCTGAACCGGATCCAGCACCCGGCTGTCAATGGAGCGGGGACACAAACGAGGTCAAGAAGAAGAATTAAAAAAAAGGTAAGTTATGGTGCATTGAACGCTCACTTTCTGACGTTCCTCTCTTGTGTCTTCCTTTTGGTCTCTGTAATGGAAATGTCTGACCGATAAAGTGTCTGAAAGCCTGAGGTACCTTCAACTCCATACTACCAAGCTGAATGGCAATGTTTGGGAAGCGTCGTGCGACAAATGCCGTTTTGCCGCGCCTTTTTCTCATCGTGAAAGCGTGCCAGCCGCTCATCTCTCTTTCCATAGCGCTGCCAAGGACGGAAGTTGCAAACACTAATCCTTTCTTCTGCCTTCCCTCCCTAACTTCCCTCTCTTCTTTTTTGTCTCATTGATGAATGTCTTTTGACGTGTGGATGTGCCATTTTGGTAACAAGAGAGACCGCCGCAAACAAACAAAAACAAAAACTCTAGTCTCCGGAGTCCCGCATTTCCACACCGAAATGGACGCTGAGACGTGCGGGTGCGCACCTCCTGCTGCAAGGCCTTCGCTGCCGCTTCGTCAGCCTTGGCCTCGGCTCCGAGTCCGACGCAGTGGGCGATGCTTTGTCCATTGTTCCAAGCCTGGCGGCGCTTCTCCTCAGATGCTCTCCTCTTCGCACGCGCAACGGCCTAAGCAAACCAAGACCAAGATGGGCAGCTCTCAGCATGTCCTAAAGCTCATCACTAAGCTCATCTTATTCAGGCTTCTGAGCCACGTCTCAGGACCTGTCTGCAGCCACGTCGGGCGATTCCGTACTACCAGCAGTCTCCGAAAAGGACCTGAGGAGGCAAACCTAAGACGACTACCATGCAGTCCGGGATAAGGTCATTGTGAGTCATGCGAACAAATGCAAGCAACCCCAAGAAAAAAGAAAAGACTGGGGGTTCATTTGTAAGGTCTCGATGTTCTTTGCTTGATCTTCAACCTCCCACCAAAGTACTCTGCTGTAGGAGGTGCATGAGGTGGCACGATGTGGCAACACATTCGAACACAACAGCTTGTTTGTTCCTCTTGTCTACTACTTGTACCTTCCTTCTGCCCCTGATCTCCTCTTCCGCCAAACTTAACTCCAACCCTTTCACATGTCCGATGGTCTCAACATGTGTCAACGATGGGAGAAGGTAGAAGTGTGGCCATGTTTGATCCTTTGCTTAATGCGACACCAAATGGGTTCCAGCAAAGCGAGATGCGAGCAAGAGTTGATGTTGCTTTGTCATTCGTGCATCAGCAAGGTGTGTGTGGGTGTATGTTTGTGTGCGTGGTGTGCATGGTGTGGTGTGGCGTGGTGCTGTGTGGTGTGGGTGCCTGAAGCTTTCTCCACCGTAAGCAGCTCAGGCCATGACTTTCTCTCTTGACGCTTGTTGCAGAGCCGTTCCTCCTGTATTGAATTGAGGAACTGATCATTGTGTCGTATAACCTGACACCACTTTATTAAGCACAAACTTCCCACCCAATCCAATTCCTTTGGAGCGGTAGGCTTTGTTTTGCCACTTTGCCGCTTTTCCTGCAAACTCAGCTCAGCGGCTCACTTCGAGCAAGAATCAGAAGAACAGTCCTGAAAGCTTCCTGACTGACTTTCTTGCTCTTTTTGCTCTCGCAAGCCTGTTGTGCAAAGGGTGACAGCGTGCAGGAAAGGCAAACAAGGTGTATAACGATAATGTCTGAGAACGAGACGAAACAGGAAGTCCTTCATGAAATCTTTGCATGGTTGAGCTTCTTCTGGACATACCAAATCCATGACCTTTGCAGCACTTCATTTATGCTGAATCTTGATTTATGCTTGAATGTTCGCAGTCGGTTGTTCTGTCTCAAGATGTCTTAAGTGTCCCGTCTTGTCGAGCCCCTCATCTCTGCGTCCTCTTTCCACTCAGTGCCTCTCTCCGTTTCCGGCACCCAAGTCTGGAACCCTTCCGGTGGAGGCCTGGAGTCCTCCAACGTTGAGAGCCGGTTGGAACATCGGCCAAGAGTGGCCGCCGAAGCGAAGAGCGTTGAAGGCGCTTCGGCCATCTTCGTTTTGATGATTTGTGCACCAATTCTTGAGCTGTCCTGCCGAGCGTCTACCAGGCTCATGTAGGGTCCTCATTCATGAAAAGTGCTCAGTGCTCCGGGAAGAGTTTTTGTCCCACTGAGCCCTTTTAATTTGCTATCATTAGTATTGAATCAGGATGTCCGCACACATTGAATGTACAGTAATTTTGGTCATATCTCTCACTGTGTAGCAAAGCATCTGTTCATTGCGCAAGCACGCAGTCCTGTATTGTGCAAGAAAGCTCCGAAGCCACTGGATGGATGGATCATCCGACACCTACATTTCGCTAAAGAACCCGGTTGCACCCTCGGTATCCTAAGCCCCACGTCTGATTATCTTCCAACTACAGCTAAGTTCCGATTCAAGAGGAGTGCTCACAAGCATAAATAAAACTCTCTGCCTCCATCCAGGCATGGGTGATATCAATTCCAGACCTCTGTGCGAACGTGAATCTTGTGATGGACAGGATATCAGTGAAAGTTTGGGTCTGACCAATTCACCAACCATAGCCTCCCAACATCACAAAACAACAAGCTATATGGCAACTCCAATACGAGAGCCCAGCAAGTTTGGCGCTTGTGCTGGCACATCGTGACCTGTGCTAACACATTCATTTGATGTACCCTGCACAGCGGCTAGACAAGACTGACGAGATGAACAGCGGTTGCAGTGGCACATGCGGAGTTTGGTCTACCGTCGTGGATCCTAAAGACAAGGACTTCAGTCATCAAACACCGTCAGGCCTGAACGCTTGAACCACCGCCTGCTTGGCGACCTGCAAGTCAGAATGCGAACATGTCTTTCCTTGAAAACCCGTTGTAATCTGGACCAATGACGAGTCCTGTCATGGGCCAAACAGTAACACGCCTGCCGGGATCGTGAGGAGAAGGAGGCTCTCTTGCAACTTCGTCCTTGCAGATCTCGGCTAAGTCGGTTCGTACATCCGAAGCCAAAACCAAAGGGCTACGAACGTAGCTCCAAAGGGCATCGCTACTTGTAATAGCTCCTGGGCCTTACTACGAACGGAACAAGGACGCTACTAGGGAATAAGCAAGTAACATATACTTCAGTCCACGACATATCTACACCGCCTCTGCAAAAAGATTCAGCTCCATTGAAATGGTCTTGAAGCACCATCGAGAGCGCTCTCGTATGGTATCAAAACGAGTGTCCTTTCAGCTCTTTCTTTTGACAAGAGAGGGGTTTATCGTAGTCTCAGAGAACATCTCGCAACATCTCGCAACCAGGTTTCGTTTGTGTCTTGTGTTAGAGCAACATGATGCAAAATGTAAGTGTAGGACATTGTGGGAAAAACTTTCTTGTGACGTTTGAAAAGAAGATGCTGCAGTGCTGCGTCAAGGATAGAAAAAAAAACACACACACACTGTAAATTCTCCAGGTAGCTGCGGAAACTTCGAAGGTAGTGGCTTTTGGAGACGTCTTCAGAATCTTTGAGCCACAATGTCTTTTCACACGTCACATACCCTGTACGGCCGCCATGAACTGCAAATGTTTTGGAAATTCATTGCTTCAGCGGACACGACACATTGCTTTCGCTCAAGGACACACACGCAGTGATCCACTGCCGCTTGCCCTCACCGTCAAAGGGATAGGTCAGAGTTTGGACCTTGAGCAGTCAGGTGCACAATGTGTACCGGGTGAGTGCATGTGCGACCGGAGAGACCTCTTTGAGAACACTTTGTATGTTCCACTTCTATTTTTTGCATTGAAGAATTAAAGGTGTCGGTTTGAAGTCTGGATGCTCACGCATAGCAACTCAAGGTCACACCCAATCTGGGAAGACGTAGAGTTGGCCCACTCGCAACTCCTCGGATTCAGAAACCTTCACGATGCATTCAGTGATGCACTTCCTTAGCCTCCCACGAGCTGAATAATACCAGGCTGGACCAAGTCATCTTTGTCTGTAGTGCGATCCTTATTGGTCGGCAAGGCATGAAATCATGTGTGAGTCAAATTCAATTCTAATTCAAGGCCTCGCCAGAATGCATTCAAGCGCCAAGGATAAATGTCATTTTGTTTGCGTTGCGTTTGGATCGTTGCTTCCTTGCTTTGAAGTAGTTGTCCTTTTTTTCATATTAGCTTGTCTTGGTTGCGTCGCATCTTCTTGTACTTCCAACAAATGACAGTACAGTATGTCTCTCTTTGCTCTTCGTTGACAACAAAAATACATGCTTGCCAAGGACAGGTTGTCATTGTATTATCTGCTGATCAAATATTGTTCTATTCTATTCGCTTTATTTCTTTTTGGAATCCATGTTGGGGACAGAGTTTGACCTGTTGAATGCAAAGTTTCTCCCTTCCAAAGGAGGTTGTGGAGACCATCGTGGAAGCCATAGGATCCCTTTGTTGGCCTCACAGGGCAGTAGATTGGCTACGGCTACAGCCATGTGTCAATAATGACATCCACTCGGAAGTTCCAAACGGGCCAAGCCTCTCATGGTTTTCACTGCTCAGTGATGGTGGCAAGACCAAGTCCATGATGCACCTGAAGCATGGACCCCAAGGTCCCCACAATTCCGCAGTGCCCGGCACTTTGAAGGAGCCGAATCGAAAAACAACTATAGTAACAACTATATACAAGCATAGCGAGCTACTAAAGAGGGGAAAAAAAGTAAGGAGCTCATTACAGTTCTAGATATACTTTGTTTACCATGCGAGCTCCCTGGGCTCACTACAACTCCACGACTGGGACAAAGGCGAAAAGCCATCTCGAGACTTCCGAGTGCGATGAGCCCTGGGCACAGAATGGCTCAGCTTCGGTCAAAGCGAGCACGATGAACAAATCGTAGTACCCGATGAACACCCAACAGCTAGTTGCAATGGCGTGTTTGTGCTGGCAAAGGCAGGTGACGGCGAGTCATGATAGGCCGGTAGGCATGAGAGAGACAAAGAGAGAAAAAGAAAAAAGAGGGAGAGGGGGGGGGTGAGCGTCGAGCACAGGGTTCACCTCTGGCAGACACCAATCGACCAAACAATAGAGACACCCACACTGACAACCCGCATTCCAGCAAGCAGCAGGCAGTTACTAAAGCGTGAGCGCACTTTGACAAAGTCATATAGATACCACATCAAGCACGTCGGACCTGCGGGCGACACTGCTAGGGCCACTCCAGTTTAGGGCTTCTTGCTTTGTGCTTTTTTACTCAGCACTGTGAGCAGCATTCAATCATATTCAATCCAAGTCTTGCAAGCGGAAAAGCTGAGGAAACTGGCTCAACGGCACTGTAGTCACCTTTCCTCTGCGTCACACCCCAGACCTGAAGGCTCCCAGGTTTGCTCACAGGAGCAAGGACGCTACTAGTAGCTCCTGGCTGTACTATATACTAGGAACAAGAAGCTACTAGTAACAAAGGGCATTTCTACTAAAGGGATGTGCATGACATGTGATGTTTTCCTGTGAGATCGGCGTTTCTTCCGATGTTGTCGACCAGACCGGCGCCTCATCCAGCTCCAAGCTGAAACCGTCGTGGCCGCGAAGCGCTGTGCCCAGGATTCGGCACAGCTCTAGCCTGAGGATCCTAGTAGCTTCTTGTTACTACTAGTAACTAGTAAGGCCAGGAGCTACTAGTAGCTTCTTGCTCCTAGTAGCGATGCCCTTTGTTACTAGTAGCTTCTTGTTACTAGAAGGTCTCAAGTTACTGTAGCCAATAAACAAGGCGACCACCAACACATGGACAACCACCACCTTGCCAGTGTTTGCTTGATATGAGTGGTTTTCGGCAGTACATGCCACTTTACTTACCACTGTACTGCAATTGCAAGTTTGAGACATCCTATCTTGTCTTGCGGCGTTCTTGCATTTGATATGGTTGAAGGTCTCTTACAAGGTGTAAGTCACAAGCGTCAAACATACATCATTCATCATACACACATGAATCATGAATTGTGATGCATTGTGTGTGTTGTTCCACGAGTACCTTGTTTTCAGCCTTGAGTAACAGTCCAAGCGGCAAACAACCTTGAAAGTCCCGGTCAGGACCTCAGGACGGGTCGAACGGAGAGCCTCCTGGCGGCTCTCCAAAGCCGTGACGGAAGAGTACCCGTGACGGTCTCGTTGTTGGTGTCGTTTTCGTCCAACCCACAACGGGACACTCGTGAGTCATTGAGTCTCATTGACTCATTGGGATTCATCGTGCCAGGTACAAGTACGAATGTATTTGCTATCGCCAACCAACCAGTTCTATTGGTGCTGTCAAAACTGTTCTGTTGCTTGCCTTCCAGATTTGACGGAATATCGAGATGGGGATGAGTTGCTAGGCTTAGGTGAGTATTGCTGGACCTCCATGCTGTCGATGTTGCACCAATTGTGGCGTGGCCCAAACTATGCCAACTCAAGCTTGTTCACTGCAGGGTATACTGTAAGTTGTAAGGATGATAAAGGGGGTGTTGCCAGCGCCTGTTCGTGTTGCTCATGAATCCAGTGGTTCTCGAGAATACGACCAGAGCCAACGTGTTGGGAGTTTGATCTGACTAATCGTGGTCATGAACATCACTGGTGACTTGAGAACGACTAGTGTGACACTAGGCCACAGGCTGGGAAGTAGAACCTTCCTGTGAGCCATACCTCATGGGCAAAGCTGGTCCAATTTTCACAAACATCCGAGAGCTATCTATTCGAATCGATTGAAAAGCAAGAGGATCTCTCCGCTTGAAAGTCCACTTGGGAGTGTTGAACGGTTTTGAGCGGGGAGTTGTGTTGCGAAGTGTGGCATGAGTATACAACATGTTGGTTTCATCCACAAAGTACAATTGCCTTAATATCTTCATATATCTTCATCACTTCTGTATATTCGTTGACCCTTGCCTCGCAGCTTCTTGGGAATCCAGTTGCTGCCGTAGTCTAGACACAACTACCTAGCAAAGGGATGGAGAGGGAGAGGCAAGGAACATTGTTTGAAGAAAATGCACGAAGTCAGCTGCGACAGTGACCTCTCACTTCAGTGTGAAGCTAGCAATATCAACCCAACATTGCCGAGTCCTGGCCTCAGGAACAGCAGCACGAGCGATTGAAGAATAAACAAACCTTGGCGTATGAGGTCGATCTATGCCTATATTGGAAGAAACCGTCATGAGTCATGATAAACAAGGTGCCAACGGCCATAGTTCACAGGGCAAGCTTGCATCCTGGATGCTCTGCTGTTGTCATGTTCCAACTTCTGCTGCAAACAGTCATGTAATGCATGTGAATTCTGAAAATGCCTGTCAACTGTCAACCCGATAGATTCATGTGCAACAAAATCTGAATGTGTAAGGCAGTCCTTTGAGAACGTATCCGCACCCAGACTCGTTGCTGGTCAAGAGTCCAGACCCCCACAGCAGCTTGGACCAGGAATATAGTGAGACTTCGTATGTGATCGGGCCCGTTCGGGTCTCAATTTCTTCTGGGCAGGGCGCCTATACTCATTCGGTACCGAAGCCTGATTAGGTATGCGCAACTGGTCGGCAAAGAAACGGTGCATGGTTCCGGTCAAAGGATGTGCTAAGCTAAGAGTCAATGAAGAACAATCAGTCAAATATAGTCAAATATATACTGTCTGGAGGAAGCATGCATGACCGACCTTCACGATAAAAAAAGAAAAAAACTGATTGTTCAAAACAAACCAATATCACCTTGTTGCGCCAAAGTAGACATGTCCCAATTCAAAACGACCCCAGGGGACTAGCCTGCCCATGCCCAACACATCTCACAGCGATGTACATGGCACTCCTTCAATTTCAAGGCGCTTCGTTGCCTCATTCAACTTCGCTCAATTACAAAGTATGGACTCAAAGGTGTGCTACCCAAACACCTCTGAGGCAACCACAGCAACCCGGCAGCAGAAACAAGGGGAACCTACAAGTCATGAGTCATAAGCACCTGCTGTTGATTCAAACCATCGGGGTTTGCGAAACAAAACTGAAAAGTGCTGACACCTGACTGGGTGCAAGCAACTCCCGCTGTTTGACCTGCAACGAAGTGTTCGATCAGTTCGATCCATTTAAGTTGTAAGTCAATTACTATACATCGAAGACAGTCGTGCTTACAAACAACAAGCAAGATCCAACGAGACACGCCTGCCTGCCCTCTCTTTAACGCCTTTCACACTGCCATGACACAAATCGCATTCCCGCATCATGCAGAAGTTGCACCTCTTCCAGCTTTTGTGCTCGTTCGATTGCCGCATCGCGCCTTCTTTGGGCCTTTAGTCTCTTTAGTTTCAGTTGCATAGTGCCACATCAAATCGCATGTTCCAAGGCCCAACTGCAGCATGAAAAGTCGATGAAGCAAAACAAAGAAACGCGAATACCGTCGCAAAGCGGTTTGCACCGGTCACTGGTCCATCCTGGTGAAAACGGTTTGCACCGGTCACTTCGCCGTGGGGCCTTGCCTGCGCAATCTCTGCACGGATCACCGGACAGTCCATGTTCTTCAAGTCAAAACAAGTTGAGACAATCTGAGCGGTTGACCAACCTTTACTGTACGATTGAATGCATGCAGCATGCATGAATGCAATCAGCGGTTTGGTTCCCCCATGTTCCCCCTATCGGCTACTGTACCATGGCTTTTACATGCTTTTGTGCCCTAGGGAAGGTCTTGGTAACTGGGTCGGAGTCGGCTAGATTTTCGGAAGTCATGTTTCGAGACCACCACGGCGACAGCAGCCCCTGAGCCATTTGTCAATGGGTGCATCCGCAAATAAACTGTTCAAGCCATGTTATGTTGCCCTGAAAGAATCGCAGTGGCGCTATCCCTTTCGGCCGGCCCGATTGATTGATGGATCAAGCATCTACCCATAAAGTGGTGATGAAATATACATGAGACCATGCCAGTCTCCAAAATCTGGTTCTGCAACTCGCAAGCTGCAGCCAGTCATTGACAGTCGAATTACTGTATTTCGGCTGCCTCAAATAGCTTGCTTCAGAGCTGCAACAGGGAATGCCTTCACGACGGTCTTCGCAGGCTTCGCCTTGACCTTCACCTCCTTTCCAAACATCATCTTCTTGCCGGCCTTGGTGGCCTTCTTGAGACGAGTCTTGATCATGCAAAGGCCCTGCACGACAAATTTCCCGTTCTTTTTGACCTGTCCCAGGCATGGGAACACCAAAAAGCTCTGGAGTCAGTGGCCTGTGCCTGGCCCCAAGCCTTTTTCAATTATTGAGGCTTAAACAGCGAAGCCATCAAAATCAAAATCAAAATACTATCCTGATCGGACTCTACCCTGATCCACGCAACACTGGCTTGCACGTCTTGCTGCCCTTCAAGATCTTTGAGATTTTTTGAGAGTTTAGTCAGTCTGTGAACACTGCTATATACCATTGATACAAAAGCTCGTTCACGTCAGGCTGCTCAAGAACTTGCAAAGATAGCTTGTAGTGCTTGGCAAGGGCATACTGGGGGCTTTGACATGCTTGCCCAAGGATTGGTCGTGTGTCCTTTGCATTGTTCAGCTGTTCATCGCCTGATATACAGTAATGCATTCGAGCATGTTTGGTGGTGCGCACCTACTTCACGGTGGGACAGAAATATTCACACTTACGGAGAGCCTTACTTACTCTACACGCTAAGATTGGGTTTTCTAGGTCTCCGACCTCCCTGGTGCCAATCTCAGCCAATGCTTCCAACACCTTGCTGACGTCACCCTTCTTCAGGCCAGCAGCATCAGCCAAATCGCCGGTAAGAGCTCCCTTTGTCATGACTTTCATCGCCGCCATGGCCTTCATAGCCTTCATAGCCTTCATCGCCTTCATTGGAGCCATGACACAAAACTTGAACCAAGAGGAATCGAGAGCACTTTCGCTTAGGTTGCTAGCTTGAGCCGAACAAAAGTATGTGTATGACATGCGGTTCTAAGTACGCACATCGTCAGAAACATCCAGGTCCCGGTTTCAACTCTCAATTTGTTTGCAGGTTTGACAAGTCGTAATGCTGTGCAGATTCGAGTCCGAAAACTTCAAAAAATAAAGAATCAGCTGAAGGTAGTCATGGAAGAGCCGTTGGAGCTTTTGTGCGCACCCCTGGTTGTAAAGCATGGAGCATTGCATGCCATGCAAAAAGGCGACCTGTACAGCCAATGCCAATAACGTACGTTTGCTCAGGACAATATGTCCATACACATCTGAGAAGTGCTGAAACTTGGAAACAGCAGCTGCTCAGGGATTGTCGTGCGATCTGCACTTTTTCTGCAAATCTCATGACAAAAAATACGACCGTTAACGGGCCTCAAAACATGACGCCCTGAGCACCAATCGTGAGCACCAATTGATGCTGTGTTCAAACACTTCTTTGGCCACATTTCCATGGCAAGTTTGCCTTATCTTTCCTGGTTGAATTTGCTTCACAAGGATAGGTTTCTCATATCACGGAAGTCCCGGGCAAAAAGGCTGCGACCCAAAGCTGTCTGCGCAAGGCCAGAGATTATCAGTGATGTCATCTTCCTGGCCAACACCCATCACGAAGTGAGTCAGGCAGCGGCATGCCATGCTTTATTAGACAGATGCCTCCCTAGATCCTAGTTGGTAGCAGAAAGTGGAAGTCCCTGGCGCTAGTTTTTAACAACTGTATCTAGCAGCTAAATGATGGACCATGGGAGGCGTGTCAAGAAAAATGTGTGTCGATACTGGGGTGAGCACCGTCGAATCTGCAGTGGCGAGAATAGGTTCGCCTTTTCAGCAGTGACTCAATGCTGGCTTTGGATGTTGACTGCTGATGGTCATGTCGAGTCTAGTTGGCATATTGTGTGGGAGACATAGTTTTCAAGTGTTCAATGGCTTCAAATCTTTGCAAGAACCCCTCACCTCTACACAAAGGGGAGCATGCACATCAGCGTGTAGAGAGTTGTGGCAAGGGAGCTGATCGACATAGCTTCTACAAGTACCGCGAGTCGCCATTCTTCATGCAAAAAGAGGCCAAGAAAACAATCAGACTATCTTCCGTGCAACTTGGAATACAACATTGTAACATGTCAAATCACTCAAATCAGCGTTCCACCTCACAAGGTAGTTGAGTTCAAGCACAACGCCACTACAACTTGTGATGAAAGGGCTGTCACAACCGAAGATCAGTGTACATCTTCGAGTCGAGGGACTTGCTCAAAATAACCAAGTTCATGGGCTCTCAAAACCGCCAGATTTGGCGGCTTCCGATGGCTGTGCTGTGTTTATTGGCTACCATGACTCGTGGATTGCATTTGCTTTTCAAGTCTTCAAGTCTTTTCAGCCAAGTTTCTTTGTATCAACCTTGAAAAGCTCTGTTGGTGGCTCCACATAAGGCGGCGGTTTGGGCCAGTGCTCTTTTTGCATCTTTCCAAGTGCTTGAATCTCCAGTCGCCACTGTTGCCAAAGCACGTTCAAGCGCTTCTGCTCCTTCTTGAAGGCGACATGAGCAATCTGACAGGGTGTGTCAGGGTGCCAGGTCATCTGCAGCCAGTTGGTGATACTTATGTAGAACACTTGGTGTAATTAATACGTTGAATACACTGGCGCTCGATAGGACAAGCATGAATGGATCACAGCCACAACCAATGGAACTTCAAAGGAAGCGTTGTCTGGCTTCCTCCTTCGAGCTCCAGCCTTCCAACGTTCTAAGGCATGATGAAAGGAGTTCTTAACCACACTCTTCCTTGTCTCTGCATCCAGGCGGTAATGGTCCTTATAGAATGAGCTATGCCTTTGCGCAAGTGACTCACTGTCAACGTCATCTCTTCAGCCTTTCCAAGAGTCGCATCTGCTTAACTTGTCCAGGATTATTCAACTTTGTGTGCCGGAAATTGCCACAATTGGTTGATGCATTAACCATCCGTTTGACTTGGCGGGTCTTCTTGTACTATTTATCCGAATAAATTAATCTATCTATATATCTATCTATATCACACACCCGTATCTGCAGTGTAGCCGGCGAAGCCCACGAATTGACGGTCAGTAAATAACTTCGCCGAGAATCAAGGACATTGTTTGCCACCTTCCATGCCTGAAAAGCAATCATCTCACAATTCCTTGTGACCTGTCTATGATGGGACGAGAATGCCACAGAATCCTTTGGCCACAAAAAATCAAACTGTGGATAATACAACCATATCCGTGACTGATGTCGCACCTACATGCATATATATATATATTATATATATTACATATATTATATATATGCTTATACAAATACCCTGTAAGTCGTAGTCATGAGTAATCCCACCTGCTGTTGCTTTCTATCAGCAGCAGTTCCAGAGATGGCTTCCCCAAGCTCCGAGAAGATCACGTGGCGCTCGTTGTACCTCACATCTGATCATGAACTTGGAGTATGCATTCTGGGCATTTGGGGCCGGCCCATTTCGTGCACACCACCAGTGCAAACAGGCCACATCCCAATGCGAACCCCACCTCGGCGGCGGCGTTCGCCGCTGCGGGCCTTGGCCTCCCGAGGGGTCTAGCGCAAGGCGAGAGAATGGAAAAAGTAACCAGCACAACTGACATTGAGAAGTTTTCCTCCAGTGCCGAGAAAAGTCAGGATTTGAAAGGTCAGCAACCCACAACTGCGAATGGGCACAGTATGCTTGACGCTATGTTATGTGGTTAGTTGTCGAATTCAAGTTGATCAACGCACCCATATGTTTGTACCTATGCTCAATTGGCCGTACGATTGTTGCTCACGGTTGCTCATCACCAACAGGCTTAAACTTTGTCTCAAGCGATGGACCACTGACACTCAAGCGCTGATACATGCTAAAACAGCAATACGTCAAGGCCAAGTAACAGCCAGGGGATTTGAATGGATTTGAGCTTCGCAAAGCTTTGTTTCTTATTAATCCTTTGATTGGTCTCACTGTGTCACCTGCATGCACCCAACCTTCGCCAGCATGTTTTGTCTGCGAGTCTCATCCATTGGACCTTTGACTCCTTGACAAGTTTTGGGACTTGACTCTCTATCTCTCCAAATCGACTCAAATTTGACTCTGCACGATAAAAGCGACCACAAATCAATGTTCAACGAATGCAATGACCAGATTGAATGCATGCCGTCCCTGCTGTCCTTTGATTTTCCTCTCCTTGGACATTTCTTGAAGTGCTCGAACACGACCTTCCCAATCCTTGGTGTCAAAAGCAAAGTCACAAAAATGGTGTGCTGGGGGGTGAACGGTTTCACTGGCGCATACGCACAAAACCAAAGAAACCAAAACTGTTCCAGTTCAACTGAGTGCATATGCCACGTGCCTCCAAAGTGTAAGGCCCAGCAACACTTAACTTCAGCTCCCCTAAAAGTGCACGCGCAGCACAGGTGGGCAGCAGTGGAATCAAACACACTATCAAGGGTGTCCCCTGTGCATCCATGTGCATTGATCAATTGATTGGTGCGGAGAAACTTGGCATGCACGAATGGTGGCAATTTGGAGCAGCAAGCCATCAAGTTTCCCTAAAAATCTAGGAGCCAAATCAGTACTTCAAGGAAGCTGCCATACCATGGCGGCTTGGAGGAACTTCCTTGAAGAAGCGTGAGCTATCCTGCGTGAGCTAGCCTGCTATCCTGCGCACTTCTCCTAGTAGCTTACTTACCTATCTTACCTCCTACTCTTAAGGCAAGCGCCTAGTCCATGGCCATGGCCTCTGGAGTTCAACCGATGTGTCGGAAACCGGAAAACCACTGTTAGAGAGCCGCAGGAAACCACGCTCAGTTTTGTCCTCGTCTTTATAAACTTTATGAGTCTCAACATGATTCTACTGGACACTTTCCAACTTGGTGCACCACACACTGGTAACACCAAGGCCACCAAGGCCCACTGTTCGTTTGCCGAAGCAAGCTTCCCAGGCTTGGCGATGCTGCTGGACCTTCTGCTTCGTGTAGTCTTTCGGAAGGTGCGCTTTCAGTTTTTGTCCTCGGTGGGCTGATGTTTGAACACGCTGATGTTGCTCCACTTGGACTCGCTTCTCCATGGCTATTGTTCGAACATGTTTCCAAGGGTTGGGATACTTTGCTTGATACCGATGGGAGTGATACAGGTTTGCCACCGGTTTACAAGTTGGGAGTGTAAGATAGTGGGTACAAGAACTTGATTTCTTACACAAAACAAGAAAACCTGGGGGTAAGTTAGGTAGGGAAGTCCTGAACAAACCAGAGATTGTTGCCAGAAGCTTGAAATCAGAATGGAACGGCGGAAAGTAAACTCCAATAGCAAAGGTCCCACATACTTGCTCCAATGTTAGAAAAGGTTCATCAGCTCCTCCATTGATCCTTCGGAGGAAGTAGGAAAAATCTGGCGTCCTTATATACGCGTCCTTAATGTTTACCTCCTTCTATCTCGCGCGCGCTGTGAGGTGCATGGTATTCATGAATATTCAAGAATTGTTTGGTGTTGTCATGAGGCATACCATGGCGTCTTGCCCTTGCTCAGAGGCGAGCCAATCATCAGAGCTATCGGCTCTTGGGAGGTCCTGATACATATCAGGCTTGCCGGAATGCCTTACCCTCAATTCAAAACTTGGAAGATTATATATTGTAGTCATCGAACAGGACCTCTACAGCCCTTGTTGAAACTCTTCAAAAACATTGAGTCTTCCAATCATTGATTTGACAGAACCGGAATATGTATATATATATAAGTATATATATATAATTGAAAAGCATGCCAAAGGGACAAGCATCCGAGCAATTGTGTCTCCAATTCCCAGAGCGTGGGAGCAAAAATGTAAAGTTTCACGTTTTGTCGGAATCGATGTGCAGCGCGGACAGCACGTTGCCTTGGAGGTGTTGCAGGTGACGTTTGCTGGAGTCCATACATCGGGCGTTGAATGCCGCAAAAACAAAACGATGTGCAGACTGTCAGAATGCCTGAGGGCCTCACAGAACTCGAACATTGGCCAAGTACACACCCACTTTGGAGCGAAATCGCATCCCACGCCAGGAGCTCTCAATGAACTGCTTGATGGCATCAGCATATCGGTTGAATTTGAACCGCACCCTCAACCGAGTTATGAACTTAATGATCCGCATCAAATGATCCCATCGCTGCCAGGCAGCTTTGCTTCTGGTCGCCCGAAGATGTAAAACCTAGTGCATTCAGCTTGAACATCACTTGAGAACTTTCATACAACAACTCTGGCAATCTGGCTAGATACTGGCCTATATCTTCACCTTTGATGCCGACAGTTTCAACTGCATATAACCTGTCTCCATATGCCCATATGAACAATAAAACATCTATATAAACCATATTACAGTAAGTCAGTAAGTGTAAGGATACCTAATGTGGTTGACAATGAAAGAGAAGATGAAAGGTGGCCAACCAAGGGTTCTTCCAAGAGAAGCAGCCCCATGTCATACACTATAGAGTCTTATAGAGCCTTCATTGATCAGTCCGTTAAGACATGATAGTACCGAAAGCAACAGACTCAAACAATGCAAGAGAATCAAAGCCTGCTACTGGGATTGCAAGGGGCTTTTCGGAAATCGCGCATGTTCTTGCTGCTCTCCAGCACACTCTTATGAACCAGGTTCTTGGCTCGCTGCCAGTGTGCCCTGGACCGAGTGGCGTAGTGATCGCCAAAGTTGTGAGATCTTGCAGCTTTGAGCCACCGGCTCTTGAGCAACTCAGTCTGCATAAACTGGGTTGCAGAAGCCACCACCACCCAAGAAAACAAAATGCGCTGTGCTGAAGCCAACTGCTTTCGGCGGTCTCTCTGTTGAGACATCTGCAAGTGATTTAACCGCCACTCCAGCTCGGCATTTCTGACATTATGCTGGCATATGGAGATGCGTTCATCTCTGATCCTGGCAGCTCTTATCAAACGTAGTGCCCTCTGCTCTGCAGTCTGAACACTACGTTCAGAAGGGCGGGTTCTTTGAGAATCAAACCTCGAGACAGCTTGGTGTGAACTGGGTTCTACAGAAAGCTCCACTGCTTGGGCGTGAGATGCTCCAACATGATCTGCCTCAGGCACAAAAGACATGTCATCTTCATCCAACCTGCCAGTTGAGCTCACGTGCTTTCTGGGTGTGCGAGCAGATAGGGAGCTGCACTCACTCTGCAAAAGGGAAAGGTCCACCAAAAAGCAATCCCTCTTCGGGTCATGCATGATGTAACGGTCTTCAATCACAGGTAGTACAAGGTCTGAACGATCTCTGAAATAGTGCAGTTTCACCTTCACCCGCTTGTCGGCACCTGGAAGGGCGCAAACAACGTGTTAATCAATTTATATGCCCAAACAGAACGGTGAAATATGTGTGTGGTATATACTATACTTATATCTATATACATACACACACTTTCATACGATTTTACATCATGTTCGGGCCTGAAATCCTGGAAAACACACTTTGAGGGTCTAGTCGGCCCGCGTCAATCTCTTCGAACTGTCTGAGTGCCAGCCGTTGTGTCCGCTCGTCCATCTCACAGCTGGCCATGTCACTACGTCTCCTGGACTTCATAGGTGCTTTCTGTGGTTCCTGCAAAATTCCCATCGTAACCGGCGCCATGTTTGATCGAATGTGTTCGTCCGGCCCAAAAGCTGAGAAACTACAAAAGCATCCTTGCGGGCCTCTTTTCGTAATTATGTGAAACTACGTACACCTTTTAAGGCTCAGATCTGTGATCTGATCAAGCTGCAAGTCTGTGATTCACCCAGGAATGGACTGTTGACTAATATTTCAATATTTCTATATTGCTGTATTGTTGTTAATTGAATGGCAAATTCACCTTGCGATTTTGATTAAAAGCTATCCATGTTGGCTCTTGGTAGCAGTGACATGCGGTGACAGAAACACGGATGTCCGGCTGCCCACCCAGCTGTGCTCGCCTCCTCAGGTTCCTCACCAAACGCATGATAACTACGTTTCACTTCGGCCAGCCGTTCAGAGATCTGCTCCACCTTTATGACCTGAACATAGCGCAATTTGCCGGGACACATGCTTCTTCGCGCGCGCGCGCGCGAGCACGATCTAAGTGTTTCTAGCTACCATTTGCCATTGGGCCATGACATCTGCAGTCGAAGCTCGTTGACTGCACTGCCCATCTCAGCGGTCAAACAGCCCTTGCTTTTGTAAAACTCTCGTCCCGGGATGCCTCGGGCGGCGTCATCTCCCGTAGCTTCGGCAGATGGGAAGCGCCTGGTCGCCCCTCACACGAGGCACCAGCCATGCTGAAGTTGGTGGCAAACGCCTCTGTGCCCGACGAAACGTCAGGTTACTTGTGCACATGTTTTTCCGGGTTCAATCCTCGTGCAGTATCCTGGACAAACAACAACGATCAACAAAGTACAGAAAAAACAAGGCCAAACAATACCACTGGGACAAGCAAACTACTAGTAGCTGGTCTGAGTCATACAGAAAAACTAATTACTCACATCCTCGTATATCCACCTTCTTTCCAGGATCATGCAATTGGACGACGCTTTGAGATGCGCTGATAAGATTGTGAGTAGGTACATATAAAAAAACATAGAAAGACTCACTGACGCAAACACAAGTTCCCGTCAAGACTGGTCAAGCAGTCGAGAAAAACTCTTGACTCTCCAGCCTCATTTTGCCGACGGGCTGCCGCACTGAGACTTGCGGCGCGAAAGGCACCTGCCACGCAAACCAATGGACTGAAGCTTCAAGAACGAAGAAAACGCGCCACTGATGCAGAAACAACTACAAGGAAGAAGAAAGAACGACAGGCTCGCAAGACTGAAGGAACGTGTTATAAGGCAGGTCCAGGTGAGTGTGCCCCCGAATTTTGATGAATCTTTATTGTTCTTCCAAGTTGCAATTTCTGTAGCTTTGCATTTGCTTGTGAATCGTGAGGGCGTTCTGCTAGAGCCTGATTTCAGCCTCGCTGTTGCCAGTCTACCATGGAGCTTTGCAAGTGCAAACACTTGTCTCAAGATTCGGGCCTGCATACACGGCTATAGGCGTTATGCACTCGAGTTGGCTTGCGTTGTGCTTGGTGAGTGAGGCGGCAGGTCTTCAGTGGAGTAAGATCGGGCGATTATTAAGTGTCAAAAGGCTTAAGCACTAACCCCTGTAGCCGCACCCTGGCTCAGGAATTAAGCATCACATATAAATGCCATATATATATATATAATGCCTTATATAATCACTAGACATTGCATACATAATGCATGAACAGTGCGCCGTGACTGAGAACCGGCTTGAATTGTCTTCACAACTGGCACGCCCCTCAAGGCCCAACGCAAAGCAATCTTTGCGCGTGCTCTAAGCAAAATTCCAACCCCAAACCAAAGTCTGATCTAAGCAACATTCAAGCTTGCAAACAGTGGGTACGCAGTGGACTTTTTGGGGTAGTGGTGGGATGAACACTGCTGCCATTGGTCAAATCCATCTTGAGGCCTTCACTCTGGAACAGTTGGCACTTCGGTAGGAACTCTGACTCATGCCTGGCAATCACCTTTAATGACTATTAATCAATTAATCACTCAATGTTGGGGTGGGGTGCCGGGTTGGGTCACAACGATTTTGAAAAATCTACCTTCTAGGTTCTACCTTTTGAAGACAGTGATTTCTTTGGGTCTCCGTCCTAGTTATTCTTGCAAAAAGGCCGATGTCTCCTTGTTACACAACAGTATGTCCTCCTTGTTACACAGTTTTCTTGGGTCTCCGTCCAAGATGCCTACTATGCTGCCATTTTGCCGCAGTTTCTGGACGCAATCAGCCCCTCTTCTCACCACTCCTGCTTCGTTTTTTTCACGGAGTGACCAGGGTAGAAAAACAGTGGGGTACTTCCTGCACTGTGAACTCCAACGGTGTTGAGTGGTCGAGCGACGGGCCCGTCCGTGCCTTGAAGAGGACGTTCGATCTTTGTGCCATTGGCTTTGGGCATCACTTTTTTAGGGTCGTCGCATCGATCTTTGGGGACTGCTGGTGTCTATATATCTGATTCATGGGCTGTTGAGATTCTAGCCAACTGTTGGAAATCATTTCAATCTCTGTGTGTAGGCATTCACTCCCATTGCGTATCGTCAGCAGCAATATGACCATCACTATCTACTTAAGCCACCAAACGATTGCAGAGTGTATCACTTCCCGGTAGATCCAAAAAGCAGTCACGGTGTTTGGGTATGTAGGAAGCTGTTTTTAGCCCAATTCTGCAATGGCCTCTATCTGCACTGAAGTCATAATCGTGACACGCTGTCTTGTCCGCATCCACCCGCCAATCTCTATGAACCTCTTTATCAACATCCACTAGGCAACATTTGCTGCCGCTCGCTTTGAGCGAGGAGATGTTGCATAGGAGCTGGGTGAGATCAACTAATTAGGTTTCATCGCTCTACACTGTCGCTCAAACATCAAACAGCTCTTCAATTTAGGCGATGTACTCGTGGTTTCTTCCACGTCTATTTATATAAATAGCTTCGTGGCACCGTGTGCGTTGTTGCCTATTCACAGACTGGAGGAGGCCACAAAAACCAGCTTTTGAGACAATTGCATGTGTCCACCCAATATGTTGCAAGAAGCCTTCATGCAATCGCCCAGTTTCAGGACTGCCCGGGAAGTATCATAAAATAGATGTTGTGGCCTTGGCCCCTCACACACCGTGCATGAACATTGCACAGGTCAAGAAAAACAAGGCCACATGTGGCACGGCCAAAGCGCAGGACAGACTCAAGCTAATTCCGCACTTGGTGCTTAACGACGATAGGCTCAAAGAGGAGGCAGGCCGCTAAAAGGAATAAGGGCTCTTCGAACAGAAACAGACTACGTAGCTTGAGTCAGCTTGAGCTTTGACCCTACAGTAGCATGAGAGTCCACCAGCGAGCGCGGAGTGAGAGTACCATTCGCGATGCCTGTCATGAGCATCCAACTGTAGATACATTCTGCTGCACAGAAGGATGTTCCAACCAAGCACAAACGCGATTGCCCACAATTTACACATTGCCATTGTATTCCCTGAAAGTATATAGAAAGGTGGTACGCAAGTGTCTGTCTTAGCAAGACTCTTAGCAAGGCCTCAAGAGATTCTCGCGCTGGTGCCCCGCACTTCACTGGACTGGGTCAGCTGCCTCCCTCGCTTTGTCAACTGAGGCCTCTGCTATTCGTCTGCCGTGTTCTCCAGGGCGTCCTCGGCCCTGGCACGTGTCCGCATGGAGCACGTAGACGCTAAGCTCTGGCCATTTCCAGACATCAACCCCGACATCAACCCCGACATCAACCCCGTCACCATATGCACCGTCCGCTGTGTCAGAGCGGTGCGTTCTGTCTCGATCCACAGCACACGGGCGACAACGCAAGGCGCAAGGTGGTCGGGCACACTCTTTGTCAAGGATAATCTGGCCGGGTGCATCAATCGTGCCAATCTAGACACGCAGTTTCGAGATTCGTAATTCAAAGACTGATTCTACGGATTCAAAACAACTCTGCAATATGTATATAACTCACATTAACTCACACTCTGCTTTACTAGAAGAGATCTTTGCAAAGCCAACTTCGTCGGCCAACTGCATTTGAACAGAACTCTGCACTGAATCACTGAATGTGACCACCCAGGGATTGAAATCAAGCAAGGAATGGCACGATATCCTGTTTGTGGGGATATCGAGGATGACAAAACAAGCAAAATACAGCTTGGCCGTGCTTCTAAAAACGAGCGCTAGCTGCTTTCGTCGCCAAGGCCTGCCACTGCTTCTCCACGAGCATAAGCTTTGATTGTAGCTTCCTGGTGGCATTCGCTCGGAAAGATTCATGGCCGTGAACTGTTTTGGAAACCTCCGAAGGTTATTTCCACTTTTCTTTCGATTCCCTAAGATGAGGTGCAAACATCATGAGGTGGTTCTGCTCTGCCATCTCATCCGCCAGCTTCTTCACCTCAGAAACGAACAATCCTTCTGTCGAATGAAAAGACTGCAGCGACAAATCCAAATTTCTGAGATCCTGCGCCCACCCAGAGCCAGGATGATCAGGACCGCCTGTCTCATCTGTACCATCATGCAGTGCTTTGACCTCAGGCACAGAAATGATCAAGATTGAGTAGGAGGAGCACTTAACAACTTAACAACACAAGTGTACAACAAAATACAGAAGAAGAAGAAGAACGAGGAAGAACTACGAGGAAACAATTGCTAAGGCCAGTTGTCCTTATGTACTTCAATGTGTTCTTAAACCTTTTGTGGAAACCAAAACTGGGACCTCGGCGTTATTCTGAGGCCCCGCCACCAAAAAAAATACTATGCTTATACCTGAATATTCTTAACTATGCCAAAATTCTGCCTGTTGGCTGATTTTTATGGATGAAAAGGCATAAATATTGCACAGTTGGAAGACCCTGGTATAGCATCATTGAAATATGCAGCTAGGCGATATGTCTGAGTAGTCAGAAGGTCATGCCTCTCTGGTCAACTTTCTGACTTCATGACCAGGGTGTCCAGCTTGGGACATGGACCATCACGCTTCACAGCTAAGTCTTTCTCAGGCGGTTTCCTATCTATCTATCTATCTATCTACAGAATCTACAGTATGTAGCATGTACTGTATGTTTGCGTATGATGCATATGTATACAGGACCTTCTATTCAGTAAGGTCTTGAGTAGAATAGAAGAGGGGACCGCGCTGTCACATGTTTTTCGGTGTCACAAGAACTCTGTTGATACGTGCCCCATTGTCCAGTACCAGGTTGTTAGCTCTTCCTCTTCCTGGAAGCAAAACTGGACCCGACACCCATGTCTTAAGGTGCCTATAATATAAACGATCCTGCAGTCTAGTCTAGCAACATGATGCCTGAATTCTTGTGCAGGGTCCCTGTTGTTATCTCTGACAGCACCTAGTTTACAGAAAAATTCCTTGCTAATCAGCAGTTGGGCAAAACTTCTATATAGAGCCTCGCTGTCCGGTCAACCACCTTAGGCCACCGCTGTGTCCGTCACCTGAAGCGACATCGAGGGCCAGGGCGGTATTGCCCTAAAACGACCAAATCAACGAAAACAACCGTCTCATTAGGACTTGAATGGACTTGACATTCAATGTTCCAAGTGAAGAACAACTCCGAATGTTCAAGTTGAAATCCCCCTCTCATCCCTGCAAGAAATATAAAAACTACTGTGTGCATGTTATTGTACAAAAGAATTAACATATAACATACAAGTATCACCATTTTCGAAAGGTCCCGTGCTTGCTATGCAGAGGATTGTTGGAATATGTCCTTGTGTCTGAAAATGCCTTCAAGTTTGTGTTGAAGGCGGATATCCAGTCTACGATGTATCGAATGTGTGACCATCTGTGACCCGAAAAAAACCCGTCGTATCGTATGCACTCCTTCAGGTCGATCGCTTCGAATGCAGTGTCCAGGTGAGGAGGGTAGGTGAGGATGCGAAGCCCCAAGAACCGGTTGTAGCTGGTCCTGTGACCCTGTCTGACCTTGTCTCTATTCAGCAAAAGTGGTTTCAAATCCAGGAACTTTATAGCCATGGGCACTGCTTTTTGCCGCGATCCATGCCTGATCAATGGCCATCTTGCAGGACAATGCCATCTTCATGGCCCTCAGATCGGCACGTGATGGATGGAATATGTGGAGATCAAAAGTACATCATATGAGCTGCGCGTGTACTGTGAATATAATCTAGGAGCGAATGCAGTTTTGGTACTCCCGGATATTTGCGTGGATTTCGTCTGTGGTAGTCCCAAGCCCAAATGCGGCTCCGGGTGTATCACTTGAGTCTCGATTGAAAAAACGACCTCCCGAAACCAGTACGTAAGTTGGCTAAAGAGAATCCATGTGGTCGTGCATGGTACGTGGTGCTAAATGAGTACTGCACCCACATGTGGTTTGCATGGTCCATGGTCCAAATCACTCAACACAGACCTGCCTCTGCCCATCGGCCGCTGCCAAATCATCCATGCTAACCTGCTGCAATCACTTCAGGGGCGGTTTGGAAGAAATCGGCCACTTCCTTCCAAAACAGGGTTGCGAATCACGGATCACGAATCACGTATCTCAGGGTCAGGAATCTCGAGGTTAGGTCACAAAGACGATGAATCACGAAGAACATCGAATAACGAATACAAACGAATACCGATTCACGAAACGAATCACGAACCGCGAATCACGACGATCCGCCTAGTGTTGCACCCAGGAATTGAACCCCGGGTAGCTTCCGGATCACCCGGACTTTGTGTCTGTATAATACTGAAAAGATAAGCTCCTCCATACTAGTAAGGCACTTGTTACTAGTAGCGATGCACTTGTTCCTAGTAGCGTCCTTGCTCCTAGTAGTAAGGCACTTGTTACTAATAGCTTTCTGAAAAGGTATCAACGAAAGGGCTAGGTAGTAAGTGGCTTTCTCCTGCACCCACAAGATCCCACAAGCATCTCTATTCGGGCAGGCAGTTCAAGAAACTTCCTGTAATTGCTGCGAATGTGCAAACAAAGCGCCTGGAAATAGCAGGCTTCCATGAGAATGTGCATTTGCTCCTGCAGGGCAATTTGAAAGGGCATTGCCGTCAACCGTGCAATCGAACAAGCATTCAACACAGTCGAGGTTGCTCGTGCGAGGAAAATGATGTTGCGTATGATTCGTCTTGTCTTAAACTCGGGTTCAGAATTCTCAATCTGATCTAAGAGGTTCAGAAAACATCCTGCTCGGTTTTACAGAACTCTCAATATCGCTCTTGTTGTTGCATCCCCTACACCGGTGCAACAAAACCGTATTCTGCTGCATCTATCTCATTGTGTCGTTCCATACCCTAGGCACTTAGAATGCCAGCACTGCGCACACTAATTTCCAAGCAGCTAGAGTGCTGTCCCCAGCAACACGCTAGCATCAGCACTTCAGGTAGAGCCTAGATGTCCACTGTGCAAGCGGTGTCCTTGCACATCTTGGGGAATCTAGCCTCAGCTTAAACAATCCTGCTCAATTCAACTTGGGGCACACGTGCTGTTCTTTCAAGCTACATTCATTTGAGTTCCATTCGGCACAGTGCTGAGTGCAGGGCTAAAAGATCGTCTTCTTTGATCTCATCGGGCATCTCCGGCAGGGCCTGCGGATTGTTCAGCATCAGCGCTGCGTCACTTCGCTGTCTATCTGTCTAACTTCGATGACCAGGTGAGAACACTGCGTCACCCTGGTCACCTCCAACAAGTTCGTGCTTCTGACCCAAACTCTCCGTCTGTAGAGCTGGAGCAGCATACGCCAGAGAGTGAGCCACCTGGAATGGTCGGAAGAGTCTTTTCTTAGAGGCTAGAGGTTGGTCGCGACATTTGAAGGTATGTCAAGCCCAAGAGAAAATCCTGCACGTTAGAATTGGCGCCCTGTACCCGGAAACTAAAGGTAGCACAAGTAAATCCATAGCTGAGGATCCAACGCTGTCTCACTCTTCCCCGTTTCCCGACGAATGGATCCGTAGACATCCAAGATGATAGCAAGAACCTGGGAGATACAGATTGATCCAGGACATTTGCGCGCTACTCACATCACCTACGCAGGCGCTCGTTGGTTCCTTGCGTCAAAAACGCCATGATAACTGCTGCATCATGTGCGCAACTCTTTTTGGCATAGGTTCTTTTTACGTTCTTCGGGCTCAGGGCGAGGCAAGGTTCAGCATGATCACATTGAGCAAAACCATAAAGGTCCACATCCAAAACATGGTGGTGAAGTAATTCCTCGGATAACAATCTCTTGTTTGCAACTGGCCAATTCTGCTGCCTCCAAACTGATACAGTGGCCACATCTACATACTAGCTCTTCTTATCTAGACCCATGAGATCCTATAGTATTGCTGAGCGTGCTAGTCTAGCCTTGCACTCGTGAGTTATGAGCAAATAGGTGCAGGGGATGCACTGTGGATTTTGTTTTTTAAAGGAAGAAACCACCGTCAAGGCAAATGTTGCATCACCTAAAGAGAAGGCTCGGAACCCAAATTGCAAACACGAGCGAGAAGAAAGTTTGATATCTATATATTGTATGATACTATAGTTTAACTATATACATACATAATTATAGTTATATAAGTGTGTGTTGCACATGCACTGCATGCTACCAACTCAAAGAAAAATTAATGTGATTACGCCATTGCGCCCAGGACTTGCAAAAAAAACACTGGCGACTTGTCATTTCTGGTCGCAGCTTGCCACGCTGCGTGGATCATTCAGGCTGGGAGAGCTAAGGTGTACACTCTTCAGCGTAATAGGGCCAGTCATACCTGGCACAGGTGTTGCTTGCACTCAGAGCGGAGGCATTCCAAAACGAGCTGCTCTGCACAAGTTTCTATTTGGCTGTTTTCCTCCAGCATGAAATAGGATTGCAGCACAAGCTTCGATCTTTTCTCAAAGCTAGCCAGGAGTACTCACCCTCGATCATAAGCTTGAAGCAATATCCAATGGATGCATCAAGTGTCGCAAACTCCTTGACCGGAGTTTGGTATTTTGCGACCAAAACCATTTATATTATATATGTATATATTATATATACACATAGTTCGCAGTCATTTGCAATGAAGCTTGTCATCCTCCATCCTCCGGCCGAAAATGAAGCAACCAGCCCTTAGCCAAAAAAGGAATCATCAGCTCAAAATGGAAATAGAATATTAACGTTGCAGGCAGCTGGTATGGTCTGTTTGCGCCGTTGAATACCGTGTTTGGCACTTTGCCCTACTACCAGTGTTTCATATACGTTAAAAGCCTAAACATGTGCCTGCAAGTGTAAGGCCTGGTTTGTGATCCTACATTCCAGTCTGGCTGCAGAGTGACTGTCAGCAAACACTGACCCGTCCAATCCGTCTGAAACGCCTTCGATTCCATTTGGTTTAAATAATCTGAGCTCTCAGCAATGCATAAGCCTCGGTTGGCTCTGGCACTTGCGATTTGCACAACCCATGTCAATAGCAAACAGAATGCCACAAGCTTCAATCATAAATTCCCCATAGTCCCTTGCTCTGTTCCTGGTTGTACAGTACTTCCCCACAGATGGTGTCTATGCTCTAATCGCAATGGCATACCACCATTATTGGGGCTTGGGCCAGCCAAGTGGGTGCCAACACCACCAAGAAGTGCACAATGTCAAAAGCACTGACCTGGACACATGCAATGTTTGCAGGCTGCGCAAATGACCTGGGATATCACACTATCATTTGCTCAGAATGTTCAAGCATGGCTCATGTGGTAAGTTGGCAGCCCACCTGCCTCAAGGGTGGTTGTCACTACTGCCAGGCGTGGCTGAGCACTGAAAGAGGTGAAAAATCGCACCATGCAGAGTAAGCAATACCTCAAAGCGGAGGAACTAGGGTGCCGTTCAAGCCCCCATCTTGTTTCAAGAACCTTCTGTCACTGCCGTTTGAACAAAACAGTTCTACTCTAGCAATGAGGATCCGACAGACCTGTGACAATACGGAAGTTGCCCATGTACTCATTCATGTTGTCTGCCTGGAAACACTCAAATCTGATGTTTTCAGCAGAAACAAGTTGGGAAAGCATGCGACGGGTTACCAGCAGGTGCAAGAAGCTACTACATATATATATATAAGTGTGACCTTTGTTGACTCAATATGCTTCAAACATGGGGTGGATGTCCATGGTCCATGGTCTCTATCCATTTATGCTTTGTTTTGGTATCGCACACATGCCCCTGCAAAATGCTGCATGATACAGTTGGCATGGTGCTGCTGTTGCGTTCAACAATAGAGATACGCGCAAATCAAACCCAGGATACATCTGCAAAGTCTTGCATCAACCTCCCTTCCCTCCTTCTCTCCTTATCTCCCAGCACATCACTCCAGCCAGCCTTTTCGATGAGCGCCAAACCGTCGTTGTTTGTATCAGCAGGCATATCCTGCCCAGTTGAAACTTGCAATTCTTCGGAATGATTGTGATCACATGTTATGTGATCACCAGCACTCAACTTGCTACGGCGAAAGTCCACTGTGCTCCGGGCTCTTTAAACTCTTGTTTTGGTGGGTTTGCACTCTTTTGAGTCTCGGCTCACTTCAGAGACCCTCCACATGGTCTCTTAGAAGAGTTCTGGAGCTCCCACAGTTCCTAAATTTTACAGTGCGGCGGGAGTCCCTGCACGCTGATCACCGCTATGCTACGAGATGCTACGAGTATAATCCAGAGGAGAAGCCGTTCTCGCCAGAGATGGCCAATAAAAACCTGCGAAGAACACCAAACTAGATGCAGAATTCACATGCTGGACCGATCTAATACTACAGATGTTCAATCTGGGTCCAAAATAAGGGATTAAGGACACTGCGGCACTGAAGGCACTGTGGCCCAGAGGTGAGAGACACGAGATGCAGACTGACGAGAAAGGTGACTGAGGTGGATTGCGGAAAAGATCACGGTCATGAGGTGAGCAAAGCGAAGTGTTCACAAACGAAGCGGACCATAGATGTCTTGTGATGCCTTTGTATGCAAACAAACTTTCTGGGTGGGATTAAATCGCAGGTCATGACCCCTGTACGTGCAAATGTCCTGAACCTGATGAGCTGCGACGGACTCGTAGGCAGTGCGCACATCATCACCTCCCAATTGCACTGCGCTCGAGTAACTCCAAGGAAACTCGCCAAATCTGATGAGAGAAAACTGATTCTGCACTCTGTTTCTGCACAAGCCGCCGACGTAGCATGAATTCCCAGCAGTAGCCGACAATCACAGCCACTCCACCAACTGCAAGAAGTTTGATTGCGGTTTTGCTGAGCATGGCAGCCGCGGACCCGAGGCTGATTTGGCTGTAAGGCTCGCGCTGATGGTCAGTGCCTGCAGAATGGTCCACCCCTTCTTCAAGTGACGCCGCGCCTGCAAAAAGGCCAACATGACTTCATGTGTCTGTGACTCGTTGTCATCTCACTATCAATCATTGCAAAGGCTCTAAAATCAATCGATCAATCGACAAAACTACATCCCAGCGCCAAATTTCCCATCTCTGGGCAACGGATTCAAAACTGAGTCAAAAATGTGAGGTATGAACCTGCCTCTCTTCGACCAACAGCCCGGCCGAGCCGGTATAACTCCATCCTGAAAAACCAATAGACTGATCGAGCATCGTTTGTCATGACATGGTCCGGTTGGTCTTGTGCTCTTCCGCTTCTGCAAAGAGCTTTGGGCGGCTAGGAAATGTCACCGCTAAGCTGGCGGCAGAAGGATCCCAAAGAGGTGAGTAGCAAATAAGATATCTACGACGATGCTCGCAACCTCAAACACAATCAAATGCGAGACATTGAGCCAAATGCAAGATTGCCAAACCACCCGCTCACAAAGCTTGTACAGTTAACGTCTTTCGAGCTCGACATTAGCAAGTGAGAAAAGTGGGTGAAGCCTCTGAGAGCGTGACATTGGCAAAAGATTTCAAGAAAATTGTGTTCATCCTTCAGTCGAATGGTCCAAGGACAAAACACTGTTGAGGCCATTCTTGCAGCGCCCCTGTCCACTGATTTTGACATCCGTTAGTCTTGGCAACTTCGAACACAACAATCATACATCAAACAATTGAAGGCTAGACCATCCAACCAACATATCTCATTGGCCATTCTATTGTGTTTGTCTTTTCTGGTTAGAAACATGTTGCAGTCGCAGTGCCTTTTTGCGGATTGTGGCGGTCATCTATATAATTACGATTTAGGGGGTGTGCGCGGCAATTCTTGTCCCTAGTCATGTGCGTTGATTTGCAGCCGTTAAAAGAAAATAAAATACAAGGCCTATGCTGTCTGAATCACCCACAGCACCCATTGCAACCCTCACAATCAAGCACCCTCTTCAGCACCCCACCCTCAGCGAGAACAACATGTGTGCCAACAAAATTGTGAAAAGGATCTATTAGGTTGGAGGCCAAAGCTTCTAGGTTGGAGGCGATTGCTATTAGGTTGGAGGCCATCGCTATTATAGACCTTGAAGAGACTTGAGGCCAAGGGGGGGGCGAAAGCTAGCGCTCCAGAATGGGAAAGTGGAGGGCAGCGAGGTAGGAAAAAACACGGCGCACTTTTTGGAGGCAGTCGCACAGAGTAGCAGAAGGCAGGACGCCTTGCACAAGTTGGGCGGGGCAAACGATTCCAGGTGAAGAGTCCTTTATATGTGGCTCTTTGCCCGGATCCTCCTGCGAGAGAAGAGAGGGAAGAGAGACGGAAAGACGAGAGACAGAGAGGAGAGAGAGAGAGAGAGATGAGAAAGAGATGAGAGAGAGATGAGAAAGAGATGAGGGAGAGATGAGAGAGATGAGAGAGAGATGAGAGAGAGATGAGAGAGATGAGAGAGAGAGAGAGACAGTGAGAGTGAGAGTGAGAGTGAGAGTGAGAGTGAGAGTGAGAGTGAGAGTGAGAGTGAGCGAGTGCGGCCGCAAGATACGCAACGCTAACCGCATGCCAAAGAGCGACGACAGGACGGAGTCGATCTTGCGAAGAGGGAGGAGGGAGGGAGGGAGGGAAGGTC